GTTCTTTGTCTGTTCTTGGTCTGTTCGGTCGGTTAATAGTCTGTTCTTCGTCTGTTCTTGGTTTGTTCTTATTAATTATGGTATGTTCTTGGTCTGTTCTCATTTTATGGTATGTTCTTAGTCTGTTCGTGGGATATTTGATTTGCTTTAATGACATATTATTATGTTGATTAAATTTTTACAGTTTTAAAACCTAAATAATGCCTCAGTGGAGAATTTTTTTTGACATTGGAGGAAAATGAAAGTTGTTGGGTGTGGCATACAGACTGTAATTTAATTGGCATATATATGGATGAGAAGGATACTCTCAAAACTTTCGTTGATAAGATTTGTAGAAAATGTGGAATTGATGGACAAAAACATTCTTTGCAGTTATCGTGGGTACCGAATTTGAAACAGAAATCGTTGCCCGTTGTAATAAAAGACAATGATGATTTGTTATTCTTCAGGGATATAGCCCACGAGGTACCGCTACACGTGATAGTGGATGAGAAGTTTATGAATCCAGAAGAACATATTGATTTTGTCAAAATTAGGAGAAATCCTTTGCATGACGATTTTTTTTATCGTGATTTTATAGGTATTGTAGCTCCAGATGAGTTTTCGACTCGGAATAATATTCCACCACAGTCGCAACCACAACCAGAGTCACAGGCACAGCTAGAGCCACAACCACTTGCCATATTAAATGAAGTAGAAGTTACTGGTCCTTTAGTTTGTATCGACCAGACTGAGTTTAGATCATCTCATGGATCTACCTTCAGTGACGGATCTAGTTTAGAAGTTGGTCAGTGCTTTACAAGTAAGAATGATTTGAAGGAAAAGCTGCATTTAATAGCTTTGAAGGGGAAGTTTGAATCTCATGGATCTACCTTCAGTGACGGATCTAGGTTTTTTCTTTTTTTACCAATTTTTTTTCTCTTTTATAAATTACAATGGTTATTAATACCCAAAAAGTCAAAAAATATGTAAAAAAAATGTATGTTTTTAATGTTTTATTAGAGTTTGTTTATGGTCTGTTCTTGGTCTGTTCGTTCAGTTCTGGTCTGTTCTTGGTCTGCTCTTGGTCTGGTGGTCTGTTCTTGGTCTGTTTGGTCGGTTCTGGTCTGTTCTTGGTCAATTCTTGGTCTTTTTGGTCGGTTAATGGTATGTTCTTAGTTATTTTAACGTTATTTAACTTATTCTGTGAATCGGAGGCATGGCACTGCCCCTCTTTTTGGACCCAAGGCCCGGCCCGACATGCCACCCCCGCGTGCGCGCCAGTGCCCCCCCGCGCACGCGCCCATGCCACCCCGCGCGTGCGCGCCAGTGCCCCCCAACCCCTACTGTGCACTAGTGCCCCCCGATTTTACCCGATTTTACAATGAAACATGCGTTTTGCCATCTTCGGGACGAGGTTGTTGTTTTCCAAAAAAGGAAAAAGTCATTGTGTAAAAATTTAGGCAGTATTTCCCCATAAATATAAGCTTCCCCAAAGCCAAAATAACATGTACAATGATAATAAGTATAAATGCATTGCAATGCCAATAATAAAAACATTACAACACCAATAATGTTGTGTATACATTTTACAACAAGAAAAACAACCAACATTTCATATACTACTACTCACGGGCCTCTTAAGCTTGTACTCGCTCTAAATTCTGACCGCAAGTTCCAACCGGTAAATTTCTACTTGTTCTTCAGCGAGGTCTTCTAACGGGATTCTGCGGACAAGATTCGATAAATTTGTATGTGTAAAGTCCGCAGTCACCTGATCTAAGGTTGTGGACCAACCACTTGGGACGAACGATTGGCCACGCACAGTCAAGTTTATCGCCCAGATGGTTAAATAAACCTGTGTACTTTAAGAACTTGGGCATCATGACAGAGATTGGCTCCACGTGATTTTGCATATGTTGATCTCTGTACATCATAACAGCTGATTCATACACCTTTATGTTGAATTCAGATAAATCAACATAAAGCGCAACCTAATGCTTCCTCTTAATGTTAGGAGGCATAGTGAAGCCCTGCGCTCCATCCCATTTATGGCCAATTATGCGCTTTTTTCCACAAACATATTCATCTAGGTCGTTGTCAAATGTATAAGTTGCCAAGTTCTTTTTGTTGGTGATGAATCACCCTCTCAATTTTTGGCAAAATACATCATCTAGGACGATAATATCGTTATTGAACTGCCCTTCGGGTGTCCGTGATCTTCTCATAGATAGAAGACTCCAACCTCGTCAATTTGCTGTAAGTCATAAAAAATAAATTCAGTATAATGATAATGGTATAAAAAATAAGACTATAAATTTAGAAAACATGTTGTGATTACTTACATCATTGAACAGCCATTCACCTGGCTTCAAGATGATCCGAAAGAAGTCCTTCTGCCAATCTCCAAAACCGCACTCAATCAGCTCAGAGTCTGTACTAGTATCAGCGAACCACTTGTTGAAGGCCTCGACAACATCTTTAAAGGTCCACATCTTCTTCCTCACGTTATGCAGGGGATCTGTGTAAGGCAACTCAAAATACTTGCTGGGTCTTTTAAGTCGCTTTTCATTCTTGGATTCAGACTCTGGCTCTGAATGAACATGTTGCTCAAGTTGTTCCTCAGGCTCTGGCTAAACCTATGGCTCAAGTTGTTCCTCAGGCTCTGGCTAAACCTATGGCTCAAGTTGTTCCTCAGGCTCTAGCTGAACCTGTGGCTCAAGTTCTTCCTCAGGCTCTAGCTGAACCTGTGGCTCAAGTTCTTCTTCAGGCTCTGGCTGAACCTGTAGCTCAAGTTCTTCCTCAGGCACTGGCTGTGGCTGTAATTGTTGTTTTGCTAGACATGCTATATTGTCCTTAATTTCTCAAACAGATTGGTCTAGCGAGTCTAACCTCTTGTTGATGGCTTCAAAATGTCTACCATTGTACACTACCATCCTGTGATAGAGTATGTGAAGTGTGTAATCAATAGACATACCATCCTACGGACGAGGTTGTTGTTGTTGTTGTATTTGTTGTTGTTGTTGTTGTTGTTGTTGTTGTTGGGAAAGTTGCTGTTGTTGTTGGGGAAGTAGTTGTAGACGAGCCAATTGTTTGGGAGGCTTCGGTTGCTGGACACAGACCATTCTTGCACCAGAGTCCAAAAATGATGCAAGCTGGTCAATCTCAGGATCTTCTTGGTTGGCATAAGACAGATACAATCTCATGCACATACTATTCATTTCCTCCTCAGTAGGATAAAGAATTGGTACGGTCATTCCCTGTATATTAAAAGAACATACATTCAATGATTATTTAGGTGGAAACATATTGTAAAAAAAACAAATATGCATATTTTGTAAAAAAATACCTATAAAAACATTGTATTTAAACTCTTACCTCGCCACTTTGCATGAGGTCGTCTATCTGTCTAACCTCGACCAATGAAACCCGGCGTGCCTCCCATTTGAGGATTATGGGAAGACGTCCATCAACCATCTTTGCAAACGTGGCGCCGATGGTTGGAAATGTTTCGAATGCCTAAACCTGCGTTAAACCAATTTTTTTAAGTCTAGTAAAATAAAAAACAAGGTATTATTTACTATAAGGCCATGAAAAATTATACATATAACTGTATGACATACCTGGAAGGTCCAAGAAAACCCGCATATTGAGTAGGTTTCCTTGATGCTCTTATTACGTCCTTTCCAAACACATTTCTGGAATTTCTCTTTCAAGTTCTTCTTCAAAGCCCGCAGAGTGCATTCAAAAGACACCCTGCCCTATGGATAGCTGTTGAAGAATTCTAAATCATTTTCACACATCGAAATAAAATGTCCGAATGCAGATTCCTTGAAAATTAACATTTCCGTTTCGGGGTCTAGATTCTGCCTTATTACCTCTAGGGCCTCGATCTTTGACTTCATAGTAACTTTTACTGGGAAGTACTCCCGCATAGGATCCATGATCATCCTTAGATGTCTAATCCCAGGAAGTTCATCTGTTTTGTACTTCGAGAGGTCATACTGAAAAAAAAGAAAAAACACATCGGTCAGAACCAACCAAGACGACAGAACTGACTAGAATAGACCAAGAAACCAAACAAGAACCGACTGAACCGACCATGACCCGACAGAACCGACCACAAAACCCGACAGGAACCGACCAAGAACCGACCCAAACCGACCCCGGAACCGACCAACAACTGACCAAGAACCGACCTTCACCTAGAGCCGACCAAAATCCACCAGAACCGACCAACTCGATAAGAACCGACTAAGAACCTACTTAAAACCGACCTAGAACCGACTGCGAACAAACCAGAACTAAAACCGACTATGAACAGACCAATGTTGCTTATATTAAGTTTTTGTTCTTGTAAAAACATATAAGAAAAAGTAAAATAAGAATATTACCTGAGCAGATTCCGTTGCCTCGTCGACAAGTGTTCGGGAAATGGCCATTTTAGTTTGGGAAGAAGAGCTGTTTTGTGATACCATTTCAGTCTAAAAGTCACCGGTTTTTAGTCGGATTTTGGTGAGGAGGTGGTCGATTTTTGTGGTCGGGTTTTTGGTGAGTGGTCGGGATTGGTTTTTGGTCGGTTTTAGTGGGAAGGAAGGTCGGTTTTTGGTGAACGGTCGGTTTTTGGTGAGGTGGTCGGTCGGCCAACGAGAGAGATCGGAGAGAGTGGATCGGCCGGTGAGAGAACTTCGGTGAGAGAGAGAGAAACATGTGAGAGGAAAGCCGGCGGTCGGTGATGGTCGGTCGTGAGGTTGGTGACTGATCGGAGAGAAAAGCCGGCGGTCGGTGAGAGGAGATCGGAGAGAAAAACCGACGAGAGGGTCGGTCGTTCGTGAGGAGAGCTCAGTCGGGGGGAGATAGGGTCGAGCGGTCAGTTTTGTGAGGAGAGAGTTTTTGAAAATGACCCATACACTTGGACTAATAAGACCCATTTTTTGCCACGTAAGATACACGTCATGATTTTTTTGTTATAAAAAAAAATTGATCTACTTTCTCAATTTGTGTTTTGCTCCGGTCTCTTTTATCAAATTTTCTCCGAAGGAAAGAGCAAGTTGGTAATGGTAGAGACTGGAGCGAAGAGGAAGCGAATGGGCAAGAGAGAAGGAGAAGCTGTTTTCCCCAAAACGACATCAAATTGGCCTGCGATCAAACCAAAACAAAATCTCCACATCACTCGCCTCAAAGACACCGATCTTTTCATAGTATGAATCTCATCCATTATCTCAAAATTTCCATATTTCTTTCTCTATTTTTTAAATTTTGTTTACTTGCATATTATACCCAAAATCGTGTTTTTTTCTTTTTCTTTTTCTTTTTCTTTTTTTTTGGTATGGGCTTTAGTATATATACACCGAAAAATCAGTTGTTCAAATTTATTATTCTGATCATTTTTAGAAACATAATTTGGTTGAATTTAGTTTCTCAGAATTTAATAATATGTTGCTGAATTTTTCCATGTTATAATAATTGTTAGTTAAAGATGTTCAGGTTGAAAATTTTCTTTCATCAGCTGAATCAAAAGCATTCGTGAACGCTGCAGAATCTCTTGGTTTTGCTCACCAAGGGAGTTTGGGGCCAGCAAAAGGCGAGGCTTACAGAGATAATGATCGAATCTCAGTGAACGACCCTGTTCTTGCGGATGCAATATGGGCTTCTGGTCTTAGCCAATTGTTTTCTGATATTAAAATTCGTGGGAAATCTGCTTTTGGCTTGAATCCCAATATCCGATTCTACAGGTATTACATCGGATTAGGAAGATTTACACTATGGATTTTATGATTGACCCTTCGTGAAATTTTGCTCCTTTTTACCATTATGTAATTGTTGTTACGGATTAAGCGCACTAATCCTTTATTAACGAGAGCAATAATATACAAGATAGACAAATACGCAAAATTTATAGCGGTTTATTATTAATTTGACAGTTACATTAATTAAGAAAAAAATGTGACTGGGTTAGCGGCAAAAACTAACTTGGTTACAAACTAAAGTTGGCATAGTTGCATTATGGATCAGAATATGTGTTTTCAGAGTAAGCCTTCTAGTGGTTTTTTTTGTCAGATATTCAAAAAAACTTTAGCAAGGTAGTGATTCAGATAGCATTTGATTGTTATAAATTTTGTTACAGTCTGATCATTGTAGTTCAATGAAACATGGCTAGCCAAGTACTCCTTATGATCCTCAAGAGCAAAGAAAGTATTTGATTGCATGCGAGTTATAAATTACAAAATATTTTATTCTCACGTCACGAGTAGTTGTAAAATATATAGATGATTCTGAAATACTAAAACATTAAGGTTGCGTTTGGTATAAGGGTTCTAGAACCGGAGTTCATAATTCTGGTTCCAACCTTTGTTTGTTTGCAAAAAATAAAAAAATGGCTCTTGAAAGTCAGTAATTGGTTTGGATGGTTTTGATTCAAAGTTTGGACCATGATGTGATCGTTTTAAACCAAAATTACCCCAAAAAATAAAACCACCCTCTCTCTTGGTTTTGGATGGTTCAAACCTCTAATTTTAATTTCGGCTCCAAAACCATGGTTTGGACCACGTGTTCAAATCATGAATCATGATTCTGATTCTAAAATCAAAACCACCATTATTTGAACCCTCATACCAAACACAAACATCAGTATTTAAGTAGCATACATGTATCAACGCTTGAATAAAAATCAGAGAGATGAAATATCATATTCCAAGATATGGAGTTTCTAACTTGCATGTATTGTTGATCGGCTTCAGTCATGTTAGTTTGCTCATGATCTTTTCGCTGTTTACGGCATCTTTCCATGATTTTTCGCATGCTGAAACATCCAAAACATATTACATGAACGTGTTCAAATATTTTACCATTGATACAATGCTTCATTACCAGAAATATATTAAAAGGAAAAAAAAAAAGCAATGCTACTGTTAATTGTAGTAGCCCGTTGATGAAGAACTGGATTAGAGTTTTAGAAAGTGTTAATTAATTACTTTGAAATTAAGGTTATGATTATCTCTTAGGACTATTTAGGACTAGTCAAGTTTATCTTTTTGATATTTTAAATCTACGCAAATATATTAGTTGTAATTTCATTCAATGCGTTGGCATCTTGAAATTTAGCCCAAGTTTAACAGTTTGCGGAGGACTTTAAAGCTGTGAATTTGGCTCGAGACTTCTGTTCAGGCTCTTTCTTTTAGATTCGAATGATTGACAGTGTTGTAGCTCATAATTTTGTGAGATTTTTTTCCTTGTTTCTTTTGAATAAAGTTTATATGAGCACTTCTTTTTATAAAATCTTTCCACGATTGATAACTTTTACGTACTTTTTTTTTTTTTTTATCAGGGAAAACTTTTACATACGAATTCATGTTTAAAAGAATAATGACCCAATCATTCAAGAAATGCCAACGAACTTCAAAATAATTTTTCAGGTAATACATGAACACGATTTTGAATTGATATGATGATCAGTTTCTATTTGATATAAGACGTTTACTCTTCAATATATTGTCATAATATTCGACGTTAAAAAGTAATGAAATAATTGTTAAAGCATTTTAAATACTCCGAAGAAGGTTTAAAGTTAATCACATAATCTAAATTATTTAGAGAGGCAGCTGGGAGGAAGTATTCGACGTTGAAAAGCAATGGAATATTAGTCAAGCATTTTAAACACTCCGAAGAAGGAGAGAGGGAGGGGGAAAGAGAGAAAGAAACAAAGAAAAATATTCGAAGTTAAAAAGTAATGAAATATTAATGAGTAAAGCATTTTAATCACCCTAAAAAAAGGTTAAAGTTAATCACAATTTTATTTAGAGGGAGGGAGGGAGGGAGGGAGAGAGAGAGAGAAAGGGAGGGATGAGAAAGAGAGGGTTTAAAGTTAATCACATAACCTAACTTATTCAGAGAGTAGTCACATAATCGTGCAAAAATATAGAATTAGAAACGAATAGCCTATGATACAAAATGTAGAGAGAGAGAAACGAAGAAGGGGTTAAAGTTAATCACATAACCTAACTTATTTAGAGAGTGATCACATACTAGTGCAAAAATATAGGACAAGAAACGAATAGCCTACTATACAAGATGTAAAAATACAAATGAATATAGTATGATTTTTCTATTAAAGAAAAGTACAGATTAGTTCAACATAAATTCAACGCCTCTAACTATAATTGTAATTAGAAAGATGATAATCTCGATTCACAAGTCTCGATTTGAGACAGTATATATAACATATTCAGCTTTAAAGAATACTCTAGAACAACAAAAGGGTTGTCTTCCTTTTACTTGACAAAAGATAAAAGGAACAAAAACGTAGAAATGTTCAATTCAAACTTCAAAGTGACATGTACATGTGTGCATGCAGGACGAGTGCGTCAAACAAACATTGACCAATGGAACTGGGGATCTGGCAATTGCTAAGATTGTCAAACAGTTCTGTAATATTGATAAACTTAGTAGACGTTTGGTTCATAGATTCAGAATCATAATTCAAAACTATTCTTGTTTTACATGTATTTTTTGTAAGAGAAAAACACTATAGAGAATCATGATTCAGAATCAGAGACGAATACAGGAAACAAACATTCCCTTAATTTGCACACAATATATTGAAATATCTCTAATTTTCTTGACAACATGAAGAAGAAGTAACTAATATATATTCGGCAAATTTTAAAGAATACACTTTGTACGAGTTCAAAATGATCAAATTATTTACTTCCCATTTTTTGGTATTTCTACACAACATATATTAACATAACAATATGAACTTATACATATGAATGAACTTATGAATAGATAATGATCTATTGATATCATACTACCTGTATCATGAATTCCCAAATATTCATATTAAAATTCTTAATTAAGCATACAACTTATTAATATTTGACGGTACTACTAAATACAAGTGATAAGCTACGAACTAGATAACATCTATATACTTCCTGGATAAGTTTCAAGAGATCATGAACAACCAGTTTGAGTAATCAGCAGTGAGTTTCTTGGCAGTCCGATGAAGAGCTCGGTCTCAACGTGATCCTGATCTAAAGAACTAGTACTCCGGCTACTTTGACTGCAGTTGGTTGCAGCTTCTTTCTCTTGGATTAATGGCTGCCAATTTGGCAGCCTTGTTCCATTACTCTAAAAGATGTTGCACGTATTAGGTATTCAGATTTTATGATGTTTGATACTGCTAAGCTACGGCTAAAAAGACAGTACAACACATATAATAACAATCAAAAGCTAGGGCTAAGTTCGTTAGGTTAGTTTAAGCAAATTTGCTTGTAATTAACTATAGTTTACAAGCGTAAGCATCTGATTGGTTAGTCTTTTAATTAGTTAGATTGGCTGATACACATATTAGCCTATTACTATTGAAGGAGCTTGAACAGTTTATGAATCTTATAATGAAGAGCTTCTGAGCTTAATTCAATAAAGAGTTTTTTATTCTTTATTTATTTTTTATTTTTTTCCCTGTTCTATTCTTCGAGACTGACAAAGACAATTTTGTTTCATCCTTTCTAGCATTGCCTTTTTTGTTGTTTTCATCTATCTTCCACTTATTTGGTATTCAAACTGAAAAAGAGAACCCAATTATAGTTCCCTTTCAATCCAATATATTACAAGCAATATTTCCACTTTTAGAACATCCTTGATTTGTTGGTACTATATGAAAATTGGTTTTTTTTTTTAAAAAAAAAAAAAAAAAAAAAAAAAAAAAAGGCTGGCAATTGTGGCAACTAGTCAAGTGAATTCCTTGATTGAATAGAAACTACGTTATCAATTTAAGCTGTTACCAAACTCAAAAAATTGATTTGGAATTCGTTGTCTTTAGAAACTCTTTTTCGATAGTAAAACCTAGCCAAAATGACACCAGAAGATCCGAAGCAGCAGACTTAAGACAAACAAGAAACGATTAATACTTTCTAGGGGGAAAATAGAGATAAAAGTATAAACAAGAAACAAAATAAAGGACTTAATTTTACCTTTTCACGTAACTTTGCATTCTCTTCCAAGAGAATTCTTTCCTGAATTAATTGAGGAAAAGAAAAAACATAACTCAAACCATCTAATCTCAGCTTGTAAACTAAGCTTGAAGCATATATTGAACATAAATGGCATAAAATACCTTTGCTTTTAGCTGCTCTATCTGTTCACTGAATACGTGATCCTGGGAAATAGGAGTTTCAAGTAATTTAATAAGCTTTCGTCATTAACATGTACATGGTAGCCACAAGCAACAGTTATAGGGATTAACAAAAAACATGTATGAAGTAGAGCTTTTCCATAAAAACATAAAATAAAGGCTTTTTTTATATAAACACCCCCTAAACTTTTCAAATTTAACAATTTGGTCTTTATTCTTTTTTTTTCTTGACAATTGACCCCTTTAACTTAAAATCCTTTGCAATCAAAGTCCAATCGAAACGACATCTGTTTTCTTGATGAGTCTGATCGTGTAATGCTCACATGAGAATTTGTTGAGGGCAATGAATGTCATTTCTCACCCTATTTGTGTGGTTATATTGTATCAGAGTCTTTTAATGAGTCTGAACACAATCAGCTGTGATAAATAACTTTTAGTTTCCAATAGTTATTGTGCTGTTGAAACACTTCAAAGGTGAAAAATGACCTTTATTACTCTCAATAGAGGAGGGGCATTTGTACAAAAAAGCCTAAAATAAGATAAATGTCCTGATAAAATGTAACATGTACATAAGGGGAAACTTTGTGGAAAAGTCCTTAATCAGTTTTAAGATTACTATATACCTTTCTAGCTCTAATTTTGCGTAGGCTTTGCTCCAACTGGCGATCGATCCCTTGGAGTTCCTCGTAAGAACATGAACTAATGTCACGTCCCAAAAACCTCCTAAGAGTTCAAAGTTTAGAGAAAAACATATTATTGTCCAGTGTAAAAGTATCTACAATAGAATTTCAAATTTCTGTAGCAATATTGTCAAAATAAACATTTGAATAAGGAAACTATTCTGCAATAAAATATTACATTTAATGTCGAATTTGACACATACTATACTTAATATCATGATTTAACACCAAGTATAGTTACGCTTAATCTTGACACTTGATCACCGATAATTGATTGATGTTTTGATATTTTCACTTTATAATTACAACAAATTTCATTATTCATTAAAAAAATATAAAATTTTCTTTTACCAGCAAAAAGCTTATAATATACGATGAAAAAGTATATACATAATTTAAAATAATATTTTGTATTGGAATACGAAATAGAACATATACCAAATATGTCTTCTTAAACCCCTAAAAATAAGGTCTTCTCACAACTTTTTTTTTTTTTTTATCAAATAAGCATTGGCATTAATACTTTGCAAATGGAAATGGTCTGAGGTCAAAATGACAAATAATAAGCAACAAAGTAAGCCGCCAATACCGCTTAGAAACTTCAAGTTGCTCAATCTTCTTGGCCAAGTTTGCAGTTTCAAGCCTCAGATGCTACATCCAAATCCATATATATTCATTGTTAGCGGCAAAAACAAACTTGGTTACAAACTAAAGTTGACATATATTAGTTGCATTATGGATCAAAATATGTGTTTTCAGAGTAAGCCTTCTAGTGGTTTTTTGGTCAGATATTCAAAAAAACTCTAGCAAGGTAGTGATTCAGATAGCATTTGATTGTTATAAATTTTGTTACAGTCTGATCATTGTAGTTCAATGAAACATAGCTAGCCTAGTACTCCTTATGATCCTCAAGAGCAAATAAAGTATTTGATTGCATGCGAGTTATAAATTACAAAATACTTTTCTCACGTCACGAATAGTTATACAATATACAGATGATTATGAAATAGTGAAACATTAAGATTGCGTTTGGTATGAGGGTTTTAGAACCGGAGTTCATGATTCTGGTTCCAACTTTTGTTTGTTTGCAAAAAGTAAAAAATGGTTCTTGAAAGTCAGTGTTTGGTTTGGATGGTTCTGGTTCAAGGTTTGGACCCCGATGTTATGTTTTAACTAAAATCTGGTTCAAGGTTTGGACCCCGATGTTATGTTTAAAACTAAAATCACCACAAAAAATAACCCCCCCCCCCCCCCCCCCCCCGGGGTTTTAGATAGTTCAAACCCCTAGTTCTGATTCTGGTTCTAGAACCATGTTTTGGACTACATTTTAAAATCATGAATCATGGTTCTGGTTCTAAAATCAAAACCACCCTGATTTGAACTCTCACACCAAACACAAAGATCAGTATTGAAGTATCATACATGTATCAACGCTTGATTAAAAATCAGAGAGATGAAATATCATATTCCAAGATATGGAGTTTCTAACCTGCATGTATTGTTGATCGGCTTCAGTCATGTTAGTTTGCTCATGATCTTTTCGTTGTTTACGGTATCTTTCGATGATTTTTCGCATGCTGAAACATCCAAAACATATTACATGAACATGTTCAAATATTTTACTATTGATACAATGCTTCATTACCAGAAATATATTAAAAGAAAAAAAAAAAGAAGCAATGCTACTGTTAATTGTAGTAGCCCGTTGATGAGGAACTGGATTAGAGTTTTAAAAAGTTTTAATTAATTACTTTGAAATTAAGGTTATGATTATCTCTTAGGACTATTTAGGACTAGTCAAGTTTATCTTTTTGATATTTTAAATCTACGCAAATACATTAGCTGTAATTTCAATTCAATGCATTGGAATCTTGAAGCACCAGCATGACCGTTTCCGCAAATTTGCCTGCACTGCGGTAAGGCACCACGCTATTATGCTAGAGATGATTGATTAATGAATATTGAGTTTTATAGTTTCATTTCTTATGACTTTTTTGAATTCTCTTTCTCTTTTCCTGTTCTATTTCTATGTCTCTAGAATTGGATAAATTTCTCTATCCTAATTATATTCTTTTCTCTAAACTCTATCTTTTATGTTTGCCTAAATCATTGGTTAGCAATGATATTAAAAAGACATTCAAATTCCTTAAGATAAGAACAAAGCTTATCATTGAGAAAATTCCTTGATTGTCCATGTCTAACAATATGGTTTTAGATCAATAGTGCTTAGATAGTTTCCAATTAGTTATTTTAGACCGTCTTCAATCTAAATGCTATTGTCAATGACATATTTAGCATCAAATAGACTGAAAATTAAATGCTTGATATGTTATTTTTATTCATATTTTAGTGCATAATGCTATTTCAAATGGTAAATCTACATTTTATCATAATCAAGAAAATTATAGCTTAATTTTCTCATAATCTACATTTTCTCAATGATAAGAACAAAACTTATCCTTGAGAAAATTCCTTGATTGTCCATGTTTAACAATATGGTAATAGATCAATAGTGCCCAGATAGTTTCCAATTAGTTAATTTAGACCACCTTCAATCTAAATGCTATTTCAACAACATATTTGGCATCAAAAGGCTGAAAATTAAATGCTTAATATGTTATTTTTATTCATACTTTAGTGCGTAATGCTATTTCAAATGCTAAACCTCCATTTTCTCATAATCAGTAAAGTTTTGAAAGTTGTAAAAATAAACTTTTAATTTTAAAGTAATTTAAAAATTCTGGTGTTGTAATTGTTAAAATTTCCAACTACTAACAATCAAGTACAAAAATTTGGCATATGCGGAAGATACCATATGTCAAATTTAATAATTTAGCATAAAAATAAAATTGCATCGGAAAGTGATTTTTTCTACTCAAATACGAAAATTTGACATTAACACACTAATTTAAGATTGGAGATGCTGCAATAGTAACGTTACATATGCAGTTTCATATAATTATAGACGTATTGCAAAAACATAGAGGATACACAACTTACTACCAATTAGCAGTAAGGCCACAGACTAACAAGTTATAACGTATTAATCAACTTCACGCAAAACTACGACTGCTGCACTAATTTTAAAGAGAAATATACAATAGTACATTACGTAGAAGAAAATAAAAGGATAACTAACGAAAATATGTTTCAGATTACTTTTTCCATAGTGCAATGCACGAATGTTTTACTCCAAGTGCAAGAAACAACTCCACTGCAAGACCACAAGGGTCGTTTAAAAGAGAAAATGATTTGTAGTCATATCTTCTTTCTTCGTTTAAGCATATATCAATATAAAACTTTCAAATAAAATGTGTAGAAAATAAGACTGATTCAAAAACCAGACCGACGTGGCCTCTATTATTGTATAGAATTAATAACCCCTCATGCCCCACATTCTCTATACTATATGTTAGATGATAAATGAATCATAGTTTAACACATTTTAACACCAAATATCGAATATACACACAATGGGAGACTTAAAAATACCACTCAAGATGGTAACAAATATTATTTATACCACTGCACTAAAAAGAAACAATGTCATTCAATTAATAAAGATTAAATAAAAAATTATGATGACACCTAATTATTTGGAATAACATAAATAATAAGCATGTACAAAACTGTGACAAACCATATAAGTTTCTCATATATACAATTCTTTTCCATGTGTGGATATGTTGGCTCGTATCTAAAGGAAATAGTGAATATCTTCAAAGTTCAAGAAGTCTAATAATCTCAATTTTATCAAGAAAAGGTAAATAAAAGGAATATGTCCGAGGCATTAGATCTATGAACTTAATGTGATGAACATTGCAATTCAAACACAATATTAGTTTCATATTTAAATACGGCACACAAAATGCATAGAAGGGCTAAATCAGGAAAAAGAAAACTAGAACATATTATACCAAGGATTAGATAATTGAGCATGAACAGGCACACTCTCATAATTGAGCATGAAACTAGCTATGCAGATATTGTTCAATTTTAAACCAGCTAGTTGCTCATATACTGAGACGAAATGAATATATGAAGTATCTTTGAGAGGGTTGAAATAAAAACAAAAGAAAAGAAATCAGTGAGAAAGTTGCTCAAAGTTAAGAATTTAGCCTAAATTTCAAGCATAAAAGAGAAAAGGGAAGGATAAAAAAGTGAACAATAGGAATAAAGGACAAATTTTTAAAAAATTTTCATCCACTTGACCAAAATCTCACTTTAGTCCTTGAACTTGCATTTGTAGCTTCCATTCATCTCAAACTATGGAAATGTCTCATTTCATCTAAATTTTGGACATTTGGCACTCTCTGAGGATGTCAATGGGGTTATCTAAATTAACTCTTCCAAATTATCGTTCTTCACCCTTCTTTCAATAAAGCCTTTTAAAAAAAGGAATAATTTCTTTCACTTCAAGAACTCGTTCCATTTGAAATTTCATCACATCCTCAAAATAATTCACATGACAATCAAAAGTGTCATGCCATCTTCTCAATAGTTTCAAAGTACTAGACATTTTAAAAATCATATTGTAGCAAAGCAAACAATCAAACAAGTTGTTCATTATAGGCAGCTATAGAAATAATGACAAAAAATAAAAACAAAAAACAAAACAAAAGGAGACAAAGAAAGTTCCCACACAATCTTTTCATCACAAGTCTTTTCTTGTGATGAGCAGCTTGTTATCTAATCAATTCAAACAAAGTTCCCAAAAGAAAGTTCCTTATGCTATATTAGTTCCTAATCAATTCAAGCATTTTTCATTCAAAGCTTCTTTTTTTTTTCTTGTTTTTTTCCTTAGCTGAGATGAGCTTCATTAAAGAGGAAAATAAGCTACAAAAGAGGAGTAGGAAGAACAACTACTCCAACATATCAACAACTAAAGCTGCAGCCCCAGACAAAGAATCAAAATCACTTCCAAGAAGAAACAACAACAACAACTCACAGATTAACAAACACCAACAAGCAACTGGAAATAAAATACAAACAAACTGAGAAAATAAAACTCTAGTTTAAGAACAAATAAAACTAAGAAAACGAAAGTCTAGTTCAAAGCTGTTAATCACAAGCCTTTTCTTCTTCCAATGTCAGCGTTCCACCAGAGTTCTTCAACATAGCACAACTTACTATTTTTTTCACTTTTTTCTTTTTTTTCTTTTTTTTTTGGGGGGGCTGGTTTAAGTTTTTGATTAAGACTAGGGCTTTCTTTTATTTCTTCTAAGAGGACAGAGGGAACCAACCACAACAATCCCTCAAAAACTGGCTTTGCCATTTCGCCATCAACAAAACCCTTTCCATAACTAAGACGTGATATAATACATTATATAT